TAGGTTTTGCTATGTATATAGGTTTTGCTACTGGCTCCATAGTCTTGACATCTAATGTGTGAAGTCTACTAGGTCAAGCTCAGTCTCACATGAAAGCACAATGCAAGCAAGTCCTCCAAGGGCTCTGCACACCCTGGTGGGTGCTGTAACTCATACTCTCCCACTGCCTTTCTCTGGTTCAACAGATCTCAGAATTATTTTTCTTGTAAAGTAGAACAGCTGCAGCAAGAAGGCTGGTACCCTGGTAGTTGAGGGTATGAGCCAAGAAAGAGGAACTTGTGGGCTGGCTCTTACATTGCAAAAGATAGAGATTTTTTATTTTCTCATCCTGAGCCAGTCTCCTACTCACTAGATAGAAGCAGGCAAACCACTTCTCTAACTTTCTTTTCTTTATTTATTTATTTTATTTTTTTTTTTAATCAATCATCATCATCTGCTACTGCATCATTTTGCAAAGTTCCATATGGTATATGTATCACGAGAAGAACTGGAACATGCTCACACGTCACTGCCCTCAGGAAAATGAGGAACACAAATATCTAGTGTCAAAAATCTTGTTAGGCCTAAATGCAATCTAGGTACATATCTAGTAGTTCTGTAAAGACTGGGCTGTGAAACATATTGAGATAGAAAATTCTGGGAGGAGATCCTTGTATTAGTTTAACCTGTCCTACCCTAACTTAAAAGGGTTTAAACTGAGCTGGTTTAAAGTTACATTGGGAAGCTCAGTTTCTGCAGGAGTTGCACCAACATATGGAGACGCCTATGCATAGACAAAGCCTGAATAAAGCTATAATTTCAAATTAAATAATGATCATATAACTTTTCTGTTTGCTGAGTCAATCATAATTTGTAGTGCACACATTTACAGAGATGTTTATATACATATTTTTATATATGTATGTGTATCCACACACAGAATAATGTCTGCAATGTAGGATGTCTTGATTGTGATTATACCTCCCACAGAAATAATGAAGCCAATTTTACAGAGCATGGCACAAGTATTGAAAGCAGGGTATCTACAGAAACTTTGCAGATGCTCTGAGTTCTGCTTTGCAAGTTCTACAATGTTAGATGAGGTAATTAGCTTTTTAACATGTTCTGATATAACACAAATAAACCCTTAACCAGTGTGACTTACATAGTCATGGCAACAGGAGGATGAGAGGTTGCCAACTGGGAAAATGTAAAAGTACCCAGTACCTTTTCCTATTTTATTTTCCATACCAGGAGCAAAAATGTTCCTGTTCAAAAGGCAATTGTGATGCTCAAGACATTTTTCTTGTGCTTGGTTAAATACGGGACTTTACACCCAGAAGAAAGGTGTAAATAGGAAGCTCATTGTCTTAGGCTTCTAGAAGTTGCAGAGGCAAACACAAGGAAAAGATATCAGACAAGGAAAGGAGTCAAGGAAAATAGACTTTGGTGCTCTTTACCCTATGTGATCTTCTGGACAATTGGAAGGGGACAGTGTGAGCTCTGGTTATTCAACCCATGTATAGATTGTGAACTGGAATGCATATGCTGGATTTTAAAAGGCCTATATTCATTGGCATTTCAGTGCTGCATGATCTCTCACTTTATCACATTCTATAGGTAAAAGAGCAAATTATTTCAGCCAGACAGATCCTCATCAACCTGACCCAGAGTAGGTATCTCCTTAAAACACTTGGAGGCAGGCCTTTTCTCCTAAGGTGTTCATTTCCAAACTTAATTCAAGAAGATGTTGAAATCTGGAAATTTAGAATTATGGCACTGAGTAATGATAGATTAATTCCCTGTTCCTGACACATTTTTCCTGTGTAATTTGACTTACAGAACCGAAACATCTGATACCGGATCTAAAATGTATCATGCCTCTTTTCTTCCTCTCTGACTTGCCTTCTGGATGCAAACCTTGGCATGACAAATGCTCTCTCAGTACATATATCATATATATAAGACATGAATCTCTATATATAGTTCCAAAGTATACAGCTGAAAACACAATGGGTTCCTTATCTAAATAGTCTTTTGGAATTTACAAAGTAGTCATAAACACTCTTACACCTTCTGGCAGACTTTTTAACTCTTCCCCCCCCCCTTTGAAATTCTAGGACCCCAGATGTCTTACACTAGGTTCCCACCTCTCAGCGGATGCCTTGGAAGAAGCAGGCAATTTGTCCTTCATGCTTTGACAACAGGTCATTGTCTGCTTCCTCCTGATTTGTATTTATTTATTTATTTAATATCTTATTAATGTTCAGGTCTCTGGCTGCATTTTGATTCCTTTTACAGTGCTTGAGCAATTTTAATAACATGAAGGTGAAGATGCTCAGAAGGTTTATTCTATGGTGGGAGAAAGAGTTTCTTAGTCTTACTGCCCCACAACCAACTTAGTGTTCATCAGACTGCAGCTTTTCAGCCCTTCCTCCCCCAAGATTTTCCTAATGGTGATCTTGTCGCTGCTGCTGACACGGAGTAAGTCGCCTACCCCAACTCCGACCCCAACCCCGACCCCAACCCTGTCCCCTTCCCCTGATTCTCCCGCCTCCTTCCACAGAGTTTCCTGGGGGCTTCCCTGCCTCCCCGTGGACTTCGAGGTTGCTATTTTTGATCCATGGAAGGTTTCCAGCCAGCCTGGCACCGCCCCCTCTCATCCCCCACCACCCCGACATCACCGAGAGACAAAGTCAAAGAAACCATCAGGAGAAATTAATTAATGCGCCTCAACGTGGCGCCAAGTTTCCTTCCCTCTTTTTTTTTTTCCTAATGAAACCACTAATATATTTATTGTGGTGCTTTCTGGCTCAGTGGCATTTTATCTCTTCTGGTGAGTTTATAATTTATTGGACAGTTTTTTTCGGGGCCAGGATTTTTCTCTTTTTGTCTGTTTTGTTTCCTCCTCCCGTCCCATTTCCTCCCTCCCCGCTCCCTCGTCCCTCCGTAGTCCCTGTGCACCGTAACCAACTGAGAAACCAAATCTTCATCCTGGGGACCCGAAATGGCCACGGTAACTGTTGCAACTTGTCTGTGGTCTAATTACATTAATTTGATAAGATCATCATCGGCAGGATGTCTAATTTACTTGCAAGCAGCAGCCAGGGAAAAGCGCTGACCAAATTAGCATGCCGCCGGGACCAGGGGATGCAGGCTCCATATGGCTCCCTGGCTTTCCGTATAAATAAACCTTCTCCAGCCCACTCCCGCGGTTCCATTCCCCCCCCCCCCCCCCCCCCAGTATGCCGCAAAGTTCACCAGCGGCTCCGGACGGGAGAGGTGCAGCCCTGGCACCCGGCAGCCAGGCTGCCTCTCCCGACCCCTCCTCCTCTTCCTCCTCCTCCCACTTCTCCTCCTCTCTGTCCTCCTCCTCTTCCCTCTCCTCCGCCTCAGCACGATTTAACAAGGCAGGGGGAAACGTGAGTTTTCACTTGCATCACCAGAGGTGCAACTAGTTCTTCACATCTGAACCCCGGCCAAATGATGCAGAAACTTTTGTATGCTTGGCTTCTTTCTTTAAGGCCAGGCACAGATTTTTTTCCGCTGTGTAATCTCTTTTGTCAAAAGGGTGGGAGCTGGAAAGGGCGGTGGGAGAGGGGGGAGGGAGTCGAGGGAAGCAAGCATTGGATTTCCCCAGAGAGGATATTAGGAGCATTTCTAGAGAAAGATCGGTGCGTGTACGTAAGTGCATCTGTACATTTTTTTATATATATAAGAATGTCAAGATACACAACCGTCAGTTTCAGCCCTCTCCTATCCTTAAGGGAGACCCTGTACTCTGTGGAAACAGGTAGGGTGAATTGCTAACAGTGCAGCAAATCCCCTCCTCCCTACCCCCTCCTTGTCTGTGATCATCTAAATTATAAATGTATAGAAAGAGGATGCAATAATCCATGGTTCAGCATTGCACAGAGAACGCCAGCAAGGCACCAAATACAGCGTGAAACAGTTAGGCTGCAGGGGAGGGCGAAATGCATTTAAAGCAACGACAAAAATGGCGTGCAGAATAATTACCTCAAGTTGTTATTCGCTTGACACCCTGACACTAATTCTGTTGCAGCCATTAGGAAATACAGTGAGGCAAACGTACCTTCCTCGCCTGCTGGTGCAGGTGTGAGTGTGTGTGAATGGGGGCAATAAGGCAGGCCGGGAGGGGGAGAATGCTAAACTTTCCATCTTAAAAGAAAAGAAATAAATTAAATGATCCATTTAGGAGAAAGCATCTAAATAGATAGACAGCTTTTAATGCCAGCGTTTTTAACGCTTGCCCTGTACGTGGATTGATTTTTTTTTTTTCTCTCCAGCATTCCCTCAGCAGATGGATTTTTGCCACTGCAGCTCAGCAGAGGGTGTCAGATCTTTCAGTGTGCACCAGGTTGAAACGAGCAGAGCCTCTTAGCAACTCTCCCTCTGCGTGCATGTGAGTGTGTGCGAGCGTGCGACTCAGCAGCAGCGGAAGAAAGAGGAAAGAAGAGCGAGAGAGCGGGCGAGCGAGCGAGGAGGGGAGGCAGCGCGGCCGGCAGGGCGAGGCGAGGCGAGGCGCGGCGCGGAGCGGTGCGGCGGGTGAAGGGGTGGTCGGTGGGGCGATAGGGCTGTGGGGCGGCCCCGGCCCCGCGGCAGGCTCCGGCCGCTGGCACGGGCATGGGAAGCCGCGCAGCGCAGCGGAGGCCGGCGTGGCGCCGCGCCTGCGGCTCGGCGGCTAGAGCCTAGGCTGGGGCGCGCTTTCAGCACCGGGCGCCGGACAGCGCCCGGCGGGTGGCGGGCGAGAAGCGCGGCTCCGCGGGCACGCGGCAAGGTCAGCCCTGCGCGGAGCCGCGCAAGGGGCATCCTCCGCGGCCAGCGCCGCGCTTTCCGCCTGCGCGGCTCGGACATGCCGCGGGCCAGCAGCAGCGATCCCTCGGCGGTGAGACAGCCTGCCCGGCAGCAGACCTCCGCTTAGGTTCCCGGGAGCCGTCAGGGAGGGGGAACGAGTAGGGGCATTCTTTTATTTCTTTCTTTTTTTTTTTTCTTTTCCTTCTACTTTTTTTTTTGTTTGTTTGTTTTTTATGCGTGCTTGCAGTACGTGCCTGGATAATTTGTGGATAAAATTATTGACTGGAATCTGGGCTGTTGCAGTTGTACTTGGGAGGGGGAGAGAGGGAGAGAGGAGAGAAGAAAGCATCCCCCCTCTGCCGACCCTCCTTGCTCCCCCTCCCCACATTTTCTTTTTCTTTTTTTTTTTTTTTCCTCCCCCCTTGTTGGATTCGGACATTTAATGTGCTGAATGAACTGGAATTGCTTTCCGTGCGAGGAGGATGGTTGCTGTTACTTTGTGACGAGAACGGGAATGAATTGCTCGGTTTAAAAATGCTGCTTTGGATTCTGTTGCTGGAGACGTCTCTTTGTTTTGCTGCTGGAAACGTTACAGGGGACGTTTGCAAAGAGAAGATCTGTGCCTGCAACGAGATAGAAGGGGATTTGCACGTAGACTGTGAGAAAAAGGGATTTACCAGCCTGCAACATTTCACTGCCCCGACATCCCAGTTTTACCATTTATTCCTGCATGGCAATTCCTTAACTCGACTTTTCCCTAATGAGTTTGCTAACTTTTACAATGCAGTTAGTTTGCACATGGAAAACAACGGTTTGCATGAGATTGTTCCTGGGGCTTTCCTTGGGCTGCAGCTGGTGAAACGCTTGCACATAAACAACAACAAGATCAAATCATTCAGGAAGCAGACTTTCCTGGGGCTGGACGATCTGGAATACCTCCAGGCAGATTTTAATCTATTGCGGGATATTGACCCGGGAGCATTTAGGGACTTAAACAAACTGGAGGTGCTGATTTTAAATGACAATCTTATCAGCACCTTGCCCCCCAACGTGTTTCAGTATGTGCCCATCACCCACCTCGACCTCCGGGGAAATCGTCTTAAAACCTTGCCTTACGAGGAGGTCCTGGAGCAGATCCCAGGAATTGCTGAAATCCTGCTAGAGGATAACCCTTGGGACTGCACTTGCGATCTGCTGTCGTTGAAGGAATGGCTGGAGAACATACCCAAAAATGCTTTGATCGGCAGAGTGATTTGTGAGGCTCCCACTAGGTTGCAGGGCAAAGATTTAAATGAGACCACAGAGCAAGAGCTGTGCAAAAAGAACAGAGTGGATTCTAGCCTAGCTGCTCCCCCTGCCGAGGAAGAAACCTGCGATCCTGGTCCTATTCCAACTCCCTTTAAAATACATGGCAAAGAAGACCCTGCCACACCAGGATCTGGTCCAAGCGGAGGTACAAAGATTCCTGTCAACTGGCAAATTAAGACCAGACCCACTGCTGCTGTGTCAACAGTTAGCGTGAAGAACAAGCTACCAGCTACAGTGTCCTGCCCACAGATCTGCAGCTGTGATCAGATCCCTGGCTCGGGTTTAAAGGTTAATTGCAATGACAGGAACGTGAGCAGCTTGGTGGATTTGAAGCCCAAGCCATCCAATGTGCAGGAGCTGTTCCTGAGAGACAACAAAATACACACCATCAGGAAACCCCACTTTCTGGATTACCGGAAACTTAATCTACTCGATCTGGGCAACAACAACATTGCCACTGTAGAGAACAACACCTTTAAGAATCTCTTTGAGCTCCGATGGCTCTACATGGATAGCAACTACTTAGACACCCTGTCCCGGGAGAAATTTGCTGGGCTGCAAAACCTGGAGTACCTGAACGTGGAGTTTAATGGCATCCAGCTGATCATGCCTGGCACCTTCAATGCAATGCCCAAACTGAGAGTCCTCATCCTCAACAACAACCTGCTGAGGTCTCTCCCAGTAGATGTGTTTGCTGGGGTCTCGCTTTCCAAGCTGAGCATACACAACAATTATTTCATGTACCTTCCAGTGGCAGGGGTGCTGGATCAGCTCACCTCCATCACCCAGATCGATCTGCATGGCAACCCATGGGACTGTACTTGCCCTATCGTGCCTTTCAAACAGTGGGCAGAGATGCTGCGCCCCAAGGTGATTATGAGTGACCTGAGGTGTGAGTCCCCCGAAGATTTCTTCAAGGAGGATTTCGAGTCTCTCTCCAACGACGTTATTTGCCCTCAGTTAAAAATCTCGCCCACATTAACTTCTACTAATAAAAACAGCACCGGCTTGACAGAGACAGGTACTCACTCCAACTCCTACTTGGAGACCAGCCGTGTCTCTATTTCGGTGCTAGTGCCAGGGCTCCTGCTGGTTTTTGTGACCTCTGCCTTCACGGTGGTTGGCATGCTGGTGTTCATCCTGAGGAACAGGAAGCGGTCCAAGAGGAGGGATGCCAACTCCTCTGCATCCGAAATCAACTCTTTGCAGACCGTCTGCGACTCGTCCTACTGGCACAACGGGCCCTACAGTGCTGACGGGGCCCACAGGGTTTACGACTGCGGCTCACACTCGCTCTCGGACTGAGGCGGCGGGCGGGACGGGAGCGGCCTCCACCCGGGACCGGGACCGGCCCTTCGCTCTCTGCGTGTGGGGAGGCAGCGCCATCCGGGGACTCCTCTGCACCTCAGCGACCTTCGGTGGGAAACAGCAGAACACACGCACGCCTCCCGCCCCCAAAAAACCATGGCAAGCACCGAGGCCCTGTGAGCGGCGGGGGCAGCCCGACGTTGAGGCGCAGCCGCGCAGCTCCGTGCATCCCGGCGCGGTGGGAGTATCCCCCGCCCCTGAGCTGCTAGGGCAGCAACGGACAAGAGAGGACCCTTTTCCTTTGGCTCCGGCTGGGCGAAACACGACTCCCGGTTATGCTGGACTTTTGTTCTGTTGTGTTGGGGTTTGTTTTGCTTCTTTTTGTCCTCTTCTCGTGTGGACCGAGCCCTCTCCGAGAGGCCGGGAAGAGGAGGGGGGCGGAGGAAAGGCTGGCGTCGGCCTCCTCCTGACAGCAAAGCAGGAGTGGAAAGTTGCACGAAGGCATGAATGTAATGTAAATAAATGACTCCGAAACAAACAGACAAATGGACACACACGAAAAAAAAAAAAAAAAAAAAAAGTGCTGCATGGCTCGCATGGATACAACGCACCCCAGGGACGCTCCAGCCTCCGACTGGAAGCAGCGTCTAGTTCACACCATCATCCCTCTTACCTGATAAGTCCCTTCGTATCAAACCTTCTATATAAGAAATACAGTATAATAAAAAGTGCCATTTCGCCATTTTTGTGTGATCAATAGGCAGTAGAGATCGTACTTTTACCGTGGAAGACAATGTAAAGGTTTTATTTAAGACATAGTTGCATGGATATTCTCATTGGATTTTTTTTGTTATTTTTTTATTTTATTTTTTGAGGCAGGAATTACTTTGCTGGGACAGATTTGCTTTGTTGACGCTGGGTTGTGTTTTGGTTTTCGGGAGGGAGGAGGGGAGGCTTTGGTTTTGTTTTCTCTCTCTTTCAATATACATATTCAGTATTGCCTTTCCATCTGAATGTAAAAATTAGTACCCTTGATTTCTATTATGGTAACAGTGTAAACATACAAAGAAAAAATCCAAGGCAGTTAAGCATGACCAATTAATGTCACTCTAGTGCTTAGGCTGCAAAGTTTAATGGTAGAAAATTCTGTGCTGTTGTAAATCTTACTATAACTTGAGGAAACCAGGACTGAGGAAGCAAGTGAAACTTACTAATTCTATTCGAGGATTTTATAATGGCATATTTTTTCAGTATTAAAGTGAAAATGTTTTCAACTCCGGGTCCTTACCATTTTTCCAGCATCAGTTCTTTGTAAGTGGGTTATTTGGGTTTAGGGGACAGAGCCTCCTTTCAGTGCTCTGTGTGTGTGTTTCTCTCCCTCCCTCTCTCTTTCCCTCTTTTCCCCTCTTTCTCTCATTCATTCACGCGCAGAGGCACAAACATCCTTCCCTCACCCCTTCCCCACTGTAAATAACACACAGAAGTTTCCTGCCTCCGCCCCTCTTCCTTGCCTTCCTCTTTTTTTTTTTCCTTTTTTCTTAATATGTAATGAGGTAGTGAATCCCTTTATTAACACTGATGTCGCTGCCTCTTCTGCACACACTGCAGATATATTAAGGATGTTAGTGGGAATTTGATTTAATTGACTCTGCCTAGCTCGGTTTCACTAAACCGGAGCCGGATTTCAGCTCTCAGCAGCAGCCCTTGGGGCCCGCAGGCAGCTTGTGGTGCTGCCGGCAAGGCGGGGCTGCTGTGGGAGGCCGGGCTGCAGTAGCTGCTCCAAGTGGGAAAACTAATTAGCAAAGGGACTTTACCATCCCTGCTCTGGCTAGCTGCACCCTTTGATATTAAATGCTGGGAAAATAAAAAATCCAACACGGCGCAGTGCTGCAGCTGGATTTCAGGCAGCTCTTATCTGATCCCGTTGCTGTGTAGGAAAGTGCCCCTAAACTCAGTAAAACCTGTAAAGGCAAAAGTCCCTGCAAAGCACTTGTAACTCACAGCTCAAATCCCAGTGGAGACATGGAGAATTTCAGTCACGTTGCTTCTGGCTTCCTCCAGGCAGAGAACCCTTTTAAAGAGTAAAACACCGTAAGGGACTTGCTAAACTTCAAATATTCATACGGTTTGCTTTATAGAAAATGCCCACCTTTGGGATATGCGAAGAGAAAGCATACATACATGCACACACATTGCAATAGATACACTCTTGAAAACGAGGCAGAAGCCTGGTGCAGGGTGTTCATGAAGGAACATGGGGAACAGATCATTTATCCAGAATTCTTCATCACTGCCTGCAGCCTCCTGGAAAATACCTTGATGTAAAATACCTTGTGTAGCTCTGAAAACTGGATGTCCTGCTTGATTATACAAACTGCCCGTATTTGAAGGCCCTTCTTTATCCCCTCTTGCTTCTTTGTTAGGCTGATTGTTCTAAAGGACATTCTGTGTAACACAAAGTGATGGCAGTAGAGGCACTAGTTTGCCACTGTGCAAGCTACCAGATTGAGAAGAAAAAGAAAATGAATTTACATGTAAATCAGTATTTCTGTCCTCAATAGGCCACGAACGTTATCTTAGGCACAGTCCAAAAAAACATTGAAGAATAATCCAGTGCATCCCTACATGACTACCTGTTTTTCTGCCTTCTCCACAACGTTGTGGTGATAAAATACAAGAACTGAGAGCATCAAAGACACATCCCATGCTAAAAAAATATAGTTATGCAAAAGATATAGTGAATTAAACATGTCAAATCAATGCCTGAGATCAGATACGCATGCATTCCAGAGAATATAATGATAAATATATGCAATTTTGATTTGTCATCATGGAGAAGTAGAATAAACTTGTAACTTTACTCATTTACTTTCCTTAAAGTTCTAGTTCATTGGCACAATTAAACAGAAATGTTAGTTCAATTGAAGTGTTGAAGATGTGCATTTTTCACCCAGTTTCTAGGTTCGGGCAAATAACAAAACAACCCTTTCTCCTTCTATGTCATTTTCTGATTTTAGCATTCACATGATTCTTTCTTCCATCTTGCAGACACTCACCCTTAAAACACATAGATCACCTAACTCTCTGAGATGATAGAATAATTGCCAGGCTTTGAATGATGATGCTTATCTTGTTTGCACGTTTAGCACTTCCAAGGTTATTTTCATCAAAACAAAACACTCAACCAAAAAGAAAAACAAGATGAAGAAAGGGTATGATTGAGGATGCATTCAAGGAGAGTGGAGTGCAAATATGTTAAATATGTTTAGGTGTACTGCATTAACAACAATAACAAAAAGAATTAAATGTTTTATTCATTTTGATAATGCCTGACTGTGTGGTATACTTCTAACATTGGAAGCCTATATAACAGACATGTGTCAAAACGTGTATTTTTTTCCTGTTAACTTCAAAGAATCTCATACCTTCAGGCATAATATATATCACAACAAGTTATTTCTTAATTATTTCTTAATCATCACAGTAAGAGATTTCTGTTGTTTTAGAAAGGACAGACAGGAAAGGAACAGATATCTTGTTTAGTTAATTAAAAAAGTATTTTTTTTCTGCAAACACTTCAACTAAGAATAGCGTAGTTTAAACTGTTGCCATAGAAATAGATGACTGTACGCCTGGTAGCCTCTTGCATGCCATTGCAGAAGACTGAATGGAACTGTAGGAGCAACCTGATAAAATTTTAAATTAATACTCGTAGGTGATATGTACAGTTGGAACTGCACAGGAATGCATTATTATACTGCTTTACTGAATTTATTGGCTTTGCCTGATAATTTTATGACTTCACTGCAGTTGCATTCATTGAAGTTGCATTGAAAATACTATTTCGGATCTGCTTGCAAACTAAAGTGATGGAAACTTTTTGTTTGTTTGTTTTTTAACAAGAGTGGTGTCAGATTTTATCTGATGGAGAAGAAAAGATTTTGTGTACTAGTCTTCAAGTGGGTAGAACAGACATTAACTACAAAAGGTGAACTTTTCACACCTTCTTAAACTATTGGCAAAACTCATTAGGTGAAACGGCAGTACGAACCTGCAAATAGCCCCTCCTTCCCAGCAGAATAATCGTCTTTAGCTTCCGTTACCCATGAGAAGTTTTGTAGGTTTCCCAGAAATGAAAGTCTCCTAAATCAAATAGTTCTTAATAAAGAGGCAACCCCTTTCTCTTTGTATGTTTGTCAGTGGTTTGTTCAGTTGCAAAACAGAGTAGGATTTTGAAAGGGAGTTTAGTGTAGCTGTTTATACTATTTGAGTCATTCGTAACTGATTTGGCTACATTTTTATAGAGGTGTGATTGAAAATGAGAATACTTAGATGAGTATGGACTTCAGTAGGTAGATCCTTTTGTATTTAAAAAAGTTTCCATAGGTATATACGTGAAGTAGGACAATGTCAGTGGCTGTATGTTATGCCATGTGATTTTGCCGTTGAAATTTGTGGGAATTCTTTGTGATTTATGGTACAGAAATTTCCAGGCAATGAGCAGCAGTACCTCTGAGCTTGCTGCTGCATAAGTTTTGGGTTTCTGTTTTGTTTTGTTTTGTTTTTTAATTTGGGAACAAGTCAGAAAGTGAAGAATTAATGGTTTGTGTTGATAAGCTACAGTTGCCCTAAAATCACCCATATATTTGTATAATCTGATTAAAATATATAATGTATAATCTGTTTAAATGGTATTAGGAGTATGGACATGGCCAATCAAAATCGCAAGAATCTCTGACTTCAGCTTTTTTCCAGACAGAGGGATATTAGCACTAGAAAAAATGTGGACTAGAAAATGTTGCAAGTATTGTGTTATATTACATGATATTCATTATGATTATGTTTGACAATGACACCTTAATGGGTTAACTTGTGACAAAAGATGATATTCAACATAATTGTCCAAGAGTTTTAGGAACTTTTGTGATATTATCTCATAGGTGGAGAAATATAAATGAGATCCATCAGTCTTAGTTGTCAAGATTAATTACCAGGTCAATAGACATTGATAAGGAGAAAACTCCAGGAACAAACTTGCCAACAGTTTTCAAGATGACAAGCAGGTATTCTTTATTGCGGCGCCGGGAGACACAGGGGATAGCTCCTCCTAACGTGTGTCTCTCCATTGACACACAAGCCGTC